AAATTTGAACACAAAATTTGAACACAATGATCAAAAGGATTCATGTCCTTAACTACTTTAAACGTTTATACAAAATTTGAACACATAATAAAGAGTTTAAACTAGTAAATGAAACGATTTAAATTTGCTGTGATTAAAAATAACACACACAAGTTCACATATTATATATCAATCACAGTAAGAATTATGCTGAGGCAATAATCATAAATCAAAGATGCATTTCATATTGTCCACATGTTGAGCTGTACGAAATAAAGTCATGAAAGTGCACACAATTTAGGATGTTTAGCTCCACACACGTGGACAAATTAAAATTGTGGCAGTGATTAAGAAAATCATATACTCTATGATTTTTAAAATAGAACTAACATGCAATGTAACAAGCAATTTAGTACCCATGGATCATCACTTGTTATCTTAATTTTCACATATCATTGGTATTCATAATCAATAATTAACATGAGTTCATCATCAATTATAGCTTCAGGTACAAGATTATATGACAATATGGAAATAACGCAAATGAAGTGTTGGATGTCAAACCCAAAGAAATTGATGCAATATAATTCAATCAAATTGGTCCACAAAGCCTAATTTCTCATAAGACAGTTACAATGGATCAAGCCATCCCACAATTGGTAGAACTAAACCAATTTTCAGACATTGTTACGCCTATATTTAACATTCACCCAACTCCACTTCATTTTTTTAAATATTTTACTAGTTTGAATAATAATTTGGATTATATTATGTTTGAATCTAAATGCGTTTAGGGCAAGATTTAATTTTAGATACTCAACTTGATTTGAAAATATTTGCCATTTTCTTCGTAATCCTCTTTTTATGAATAAAGATTAATATACTCATACTATTAACTATGAACATCAGATAAATGAAATTATTCCAAGGACTAGTTGATTGCTCTCTTTTGATCCCCTTTTGTACTCTCTTCTATCATAGCAGATTAAGTCAGAAGTGCATGTAAAACCCTTCACATAATCTCCGTTATAACCACTCTGAGTTAAAATTGCAACTTGGCGTCAGCTATGAAAAGGAAATTGACAAAATTGTTGCCAAACAACACAAGCAACTTCAGGAAAAAATAAGCATCTCAATGGTGAATTTCATATAAAAGAAACAAATGAAAATCAGAAATCACTTAAAAAATGGAAGGCAAAATACACAAGCATTAACCCAGTATCTTTGAAGGCACATATAATAAAATACAAAGAAGAAAATATCCTTAAGAAGAGTAGACTGAAGAATAAAAAAAATTATTTAGAAAATTTTCTAAGCTATAACTAACTCCAAAAGATGAAGACTGCCTGACTACTAAGATTACTTAACAAAAAGAAACTCTTCTTTTTATTTGTGCTACGTAGTCAAAAATAAAGGAGCAATTTGAAAAGAATCCTCTTTGAATAGATTTGTTGCCGCCTGAAAAGACAATATGCCATAGTGGAGAGCACACACACTAGAGATGTTGTAGTCCTAAAAGTTGATGGGGCGAAAAAAGTCACACAGTCCTTTGGTAGTTTGCAATAGGTTGTAGGAACAGTAAATTTGAGATTGTTAAGCATTCAAGTAACGCATATTTAAAAACTAGCCATTTAGTATATTTGGTAGGGCCGCATGGTTCGGGAGGCAAACAGTCAAGATTACTAAGTTTCTCATGATAGCCCATGAGAAAACACAAGTCCTAAAACCAAAAGAGATAAACTCCGTTGGCAAACAACACCAAGAGAAAAAGTAGTGCACACGAATGATTTAACTTATCATAAATCCAAGAGAAGGCAGCAGAAAAGAAGTGCAGAGAAGGGCTAGCAAGTACAGGATCGAGAGCAGCAAGTGCACAAGCACAAGGATGCGTCAATGTAAGATCAGAGACACCTGCAAATACTCGAGTGCACAAGCCAATGCAGGTCAATGTGCAAGCCAATGTGTGAGAACAAGATAGGGGTGATCAAGTAGTGGCTCCATGCAACTAGGGCTGTGAATTTAGCTCAAAGATCGTTAACTGCTCGAAAATTGATTTGAATTTTGGCTTGGATCGAGATTTGATCGAAATAAACAAGTCTAGCTACAGGCCAAAGTTTTGGATTGAATTTTTTCGAGTCAGTTTCAGATCGTTAACAGCATTATTAATCTCTCAAAAATTTATTTGAATTTTGGCTCGGATCAAAATAAACCAGCCGAACTTTGGATCAAATTTTTTTGTGCCAATTTTGAGCTGACCCTAGCTCTGCTTGAAATTGGATCATTAACAGCCCTACATGAAATGAAATTGGGAACAAAGACTGGGAGAAAGGGCACAACTATGGCAAGAGTTGACCTTGCTCATAAACCATGTTACAAAAAAAAAAGCATTTGTTTATATTATCATTGATTGAATACAAGTACATATATATAGTCAACAAGAAGAAAAGACATTAAAAATAAATATAAATAAATGGAGAATATTCTGAATTATGAAGATATAATACAATAATAATTAACCATTCCAACCTTGTACCTTTCTACATTAACCAAAAGCATTACTACAATCTCTGATGCCAGTTTTATCAATATTTGTGCCTAGGAACCTAGATTTTAGATCTACAATATCAGAATCAGGTCATAAAGACATTGAAATTACAGTTTATTGGGTTTTTATTGTTCCTGAGAACCCTTAAGAGTGACATGCATACTTTATGCAACGCCATTTATTAAGACTTTAGCTCAGTTTAGAGCCTTAACCTGTAAGCTTGAATACTAACCAACAACATCAGAAAGCAACTGCATTGTCATTTGTGCTCATCTTCTACCACATTTATACTTATTTTAGAAGTCAAAATATGCTCCCCTTTAGCCTCTGTTTTAATTATCTTTTCATTAAGCTATATTTTCTTCCACTTGATATCACCATTGATGATATTTTGAGATCATCCGTACTGGATAAGTAAAATAGGAAACCTAAATATGTTCTGAAGCCTTTCCCCATGATTGCAACAGTAAGTGTTGCATCTCGGGCATGCTTTTTCGAATTCACATTGAATATAAAAAACAATCATGTATGTTCATGTTGTTGCATCTGCTCCTACTAATAATAGATTCTTGCTCTCTCTCCCTACTTCGAACTTTCTTTGTTCTCAATAGTTCATAGGTAAAGGAAAACAAAATGGATCAAAAATAAATTAGCTACCAACAAAGATGTTTATTTCCTTGACAGTTTTGTAAGATTAGAGAAAATCATTGAAGCTCAAAGAAAAAATTTAAAAAACCACAGTTAAAACGATGATGCTAAACGGATCCTAATGTTTGGCCTTTAAAAAATCTTTGATATCTAAATTGAATGTGACAAAAGTGAAAATGATAAAATAGTTGTGGCAAAATGAGAAAGAATAAATTAGGGATGATTATATGAAAAAAAATATTGGAGTAATATCTATTAAAGGTAAGGTAAGGCACTAAAAATTGAATTAGATGATTTGGTCATGTGTAACGGGTTGAAAACATACCATTGCAGAAGCTTAAAAAATTAATATAAAGAATTAAAAAAGAAAAGGAACAAACCTAAGACTAGAAGGATAAAATTCAAAATGAATAGTAAATAATAAATTTAGCACCTTGACAATACTTAAAAATCATGAACAATAAATCATTATTTATAAAGTTAGCCCATTTGATATGATTATTTCCTTCAAGAACTTAATTATCCAATTGGGAGTCAGCCTGAACTACAAGGATTTTAGTACGCGTAAGTAATAAGTTGCCAATAAATCACATTTAATCCATTAGTAATGAAGGACAGCTATTTGGAACAAGCAAATTCTTCAAAGGAAATACTAACAAAAAAAGGCGGAAATATAATTCTATAAATGCATATCGACATACATAAAAAATTACATAGTTGCGACATAAAGAACACCACACATACATATGAGTTCCACTGATTGATAAGTATTTTAAGATTACACGGAAGCATTGCCTTACTACCTAAAAGTATTAACCATAAATAATGAAGCGTGTCGGTTTGAAGCCTCCAGGACACAAGTTTAAAAGCATTTCAAGTTATTTTCCCTATTTGACATCATATTATTTCAGCATGTAAAAAAGTAAAAAGTAAAAGAAAAATGAATCAGAAGTATAGTATCACAACAAAAAGGAAAAAAACAAAAAACTGTTTTAAGGTGAGGTGCCACCTTTGCGACATTTAATAAATTGTCTACAGCAATTTTTTCAAGTTCGAAAACTTCTTCGAGCTTCTTCAGGCCCTGTGGACTAAAATTAAATCTCATCAAATGCATTTGAATAAAAAATAGAAAGAAAATTTCTTCCAGTTATCTGAGAAAGAATGAAAAGTAATGCTGTAGAATGGAAGCCTTACCTCTTTTAATCTTTCTTCAGCTTCACGCTTAGATAATGACTGCAAAGGTGAAATATCTAACCTCAATACGGCTTTATACCTTCACTTAAGAATTAAGCATGAAATTCTGATAATTCATTGACGCAAGACTTAACCGAAATCACATCAGATAATAAAATAATATTGTTAAAATTCAAATAGGAAAGTTACAAGCACACATTCTGATAGAATAAATATGCATTCTCTTTTAGCACAACTTGAGCCGATGTTGCATGTGGATGGGTATCCTCACGAACCAAGCCTCGAGTCATCAAATATGTGATTGACTTATTCCACTCTTCGTAATCGTCCAAGTGTATCTGATACAGAAGCATGTAAGGAGGATTCAATTCTAGAACAAAATTTATAGCGAGTTGAGCAACTCTCACTAGCAACCACTTAGAAGAGGTATATTCTTCTCTGGTAGGACCTGAATCCCATTATAAAATATTCTTCCCCAAAAAGCTTCTAGGACAATTTCCGAAGTTGTGGTTCATCCCTCCTGTCTGGACATCTATCGGTGGGCATACTACTAAATTCAATTTAATATCAGAATAACTTCATATAGCCTTCAAGAAGTAGCTCAAGCTTCTCATTTCTGACATGTTAGATCACTTTCAAGAGTAACCACCTAATAAGTGAAATATCGGTCAAGATGTTTGGCAATTCCATCAGGTATCAGCTCCTCATACTATTTTCTAGAACAAACCCGGCTAATCCAACTGAAGAATCTCTCGTGAACTCATCTTGAATCACTAGTGTTTCTTCCTCATCGGCTTAAAGTTGAGGCTCATCTTTAACATCTTTATTCTTTTATGTGTCACCGTCTGTTCATAAACTGTTGTCTGCTCAGTGAAATGAATTATTCCCTTCGTTGTACAATCTGATTCAATATGCTCAAATTCGTCACACTTGAAAAATTTTTAATTGTGACTGATTTAGGAATACGGATTAATTCTATATGTTCTCCATTTTGAAATAGTGTCTTCTCAGCCAAAGTCGGCTTGGATGTTCCCCTAGGTTACTCTGACTGTAAGAACCTTGGGATGAACTTTGAAGGTCAAAACCTTAAGATGAACTCTAGCCATAAGATGAGGCAATCGCCCGATGATATTGCCTCTCTACTTTCAAAGCTAACGTCAGAACATTTTGTCGGCAATGAATTAGTAGGTACTAACAATCCATCTCTTATTTCAATTTGAACCAGGTAGTAATATTGTCATTTTACTCACGTTGGCGTAGGTGCTTCAAATTATCCCATCAAAACAACACTTTTTTAAAACTTGTTGGTGACTAACCCTTTCTGCCAATTGTGACATCCTAGTACTCAAAGAAAAGTTTCGTGGTCTGGAATCACTCCATGAACTCGTTTAAATTCAAGTGGATGCCAAAATATAGCAAATATATCTTTAATTTCAAATCTAGGTTTCTCTGATATTTCATGCAAAATCTTATGAGTAGTGGCCCTTCATCTCTGGAATCGAATGGAGTTTGGATGACCCCTCTAGACGATCTCATTTCCTCAATTTGACGGAGCCGTTGTAGCACTTGTCACAATTGTCACTGTAACTCCTCCATAGTAAACTCCTAATCCGCATCCGCCACTTGTCTCCTAGGTGATATGATTAGGTTGGGTTGGGTTTGGGTCGATGGAAGAGGGTGTATAGGGATGATGTAAAGTGCGAAAGTAAATTTTTGAAAGTAAATTTTTGGGTAGTCGTTTAGAAAAATCAGCCAACGGAAGAATTTTGGTGTGGAGGTGGGATTGATAATGATAAATGTTAATTAAACTAGCTCTGATATCAAATGATACCGGAATTATCCCAAACAACAATAGATAACAAATATTATTGTTGAAATTCAAATAGAAAAGTTACAACCACACAACTAAAAGGAAAAATCACAACAACACGACATACGAAAATCAGAAATTGTAACAAATGACAACACCAACTCAATTCAAGATGGATCGTAGGTGATGATGATTGTTGTTTGGGGTCCAAAATGGTGGCGATAAGGTCAGAGCCCAGAGCAAGTGAGCGGATATGACAACAAAACAGCGGATCCTTAAAGTCATGGGTGGCAGCAAAGCAGAATTCAGGTCCGAAGACCGGAACAAAAGATATGTAGCAAGGAAGCAGTGCAAAAGAGCTAGGACAGCGGTTAGGTGGCGAAGACATGCAATGGGATGCTGTAAAAGCAGCTGGTGGGAAGGGAAGGGAATTTCTGGTGACTAGAACAGTGATGACAACAAGCAGAAGAGCTAGAATCGCAAGGATAGTGAAGAGCGAAGCTGGAACAGTGATGGCAGTGAAGATGGAAGAGACAAGGAGAGGTGGGGCTGCAGGAGACAACAAAGGTGTTGTCCGGTGGGGAGGCTGCAGCAGTTACAATGACGGTGAGATTATGGAGGATGGGAAGGCCGAGATATTCACCACATCTGAGCGAGATACAGCTGCAGCACCACTCGTCAGCCCTAGAAGAGAGCACAGGGGTCGTCGAAGGTTGTCCTGACAGAAAAATCATAGAAAAACTAACCTAGAATATGAAAACAACATACATATGAACCTGGGATAACTAAGGAGGGAGCCCCACTCCAATTGGGCAGAAAATCACATAAAGAAAGGGTCGATCGGCCCTCCTGGACCGGTCCAAGACTCCAAGCTACTACGCAATCATGAAATCCCGCAACTAAAGTGGAAGACGATGTCGCATCCCGCTCGTAAAAGGAAGACGATGTCGCATCCCTCTCGTAAGCGGGAGACATTGTTGCGTCATTCATTAAGGTATATTTATGGACAAAATTTAACATCCTGCATCTGTAAGCAATTTAAATTTGAAATCAATACTTGTAGAAATCATGAGTGGACTAAAAAAATTACAAAGATGCATTCGTAAAGTTGAGAAAGATAAGATGTAAAATTATAATATAAGGAAAATGCATCGCTAACATTTATTACAATATCCCTTATGATAATGTCAAAGATGACACAGAAAGATGTGGGAGAATTATAGATAATTTGAATAGTTGAAGGCAAAAAAAAAAAAAGTCAACAAAAAAGAAGAAAAAAGAATGAATAATAAGGAACATAGCCCGTCAACAAAAAAGAAGAAAAAAAAAGAAGAAAAAAGAATGAATAATAAGGAACATAGCCCAAAAAGGAGGTATATGTTAAACATCATTTTATTCCAATAATCATGATCTCCAGTACATGACCCTTAGGCCTCTCTTTACAACAAAAGATCCTATAAAATAAGGCAAAAAAGTATTTCAAGATACCGCATGATAATATTAGTAGTAAAGCAAAGACATGATATATGAGATATATGGAAGCCTTGGAACAGTTGAAGGTGGAAGAGGAAACAAGAAAAAAACAAAAAAAAGCGAGAAGAAGATAGATTAATAAAAAACACAACCAAGAACAGAGAAATATGTTAAACATCATTCTATTCCGATAATCATGATTTCCATTACATTACGCTTAGCTCTCTATTTATAATAAAGATCCTATAAAATATGATAAAAGGTTTAGATGTCACATAGAAAAGAAAAAGTGACCAAAAAAAGCTTATTTGCCCATTTCCTCAATGGGTATTTTTACACAAAGCTACCCAAAAACAACTAAAAAGTAATAAGAACAAAGAATTTAAAAATCAAATTTGTTGTCTGAAACTTCTATGTTGACCAACGGAGAGCAATCCATTGTACCCATGAATTTATGGCACATAACTTTCCTCATTTAGCACAAGGATCCGTATCTTATTTCATCCTTAATTTAAGAATCCTAATACCTTCAAAGCTTTCTCTCGAATTGAATGATATAGATCTATCATTTCAAATTTGCTTAACATGCTTTAGAATGTAAGATTACAAAGAGCTTCAATTAAATAAGTGGGTGAACTCACTTCACATTCGAATATATTAAGTGCAAGTTAACCCAATTTCTAGTGTCTCACTTATGAAATGTCTATCCATCTCTACATGTTTAATTCAATCATTTTATATTGGATTATGGCAATGCAAAAGATAGACTTATTTTTACAACAAATAAACATAAGGCTTTTTTTTTAAATCTTCTAGTATAATTTATTTCATCAAAATTCATGAATATGCTGAGTGATAGCTCTGATTCAAACTCAGAACATAACATTGAAACAACAAGTTGTTCCTTGCTTCTCCATGTTACCAAATTTCCTCACAGTATTTCATAATATCCAAAAAGAAATCTCCTATCCACTGGTGATCCCGCAAAATCAGCAACAGTATAACGTTCTATTGATAAGCTTTTCATCTCTTATATAGAGAATACCTCTACAAAAATTAGATTTTAGATACTTGATAGTTTTGAAAACAGCTTAGAAGGATAGATTTCTTTGATTTTGTGCAATATTTAATTAATGAGACTTCCAGTAAAAACAATGTTAGAAAAGATGTGAAATAAATTAATTTTTCAATTAATCTTTGAAATCGCCCAATGTTAAGTTATGTTTATTCTTCATCTATGTCTAGTTTTTTACTAGGTTCAGTTGTAATTTCAAATAACTAGCAATCAATGATTTTTGTTTCAATGATTTTTGTTTCACTGAAAAAAATCTAAAACATATTTTTATTGAGAGAAAAAAATTTATTCCTTTTTAGCCACCTCTATACCCAATAAGGATTTGAGCTTGATGAATCATGTGATTTCAAACTCTACATCAGTTTTTTTTTTCATGAAATTCTTAGAAGAAAGAAAAAATAAAAGTTGAAAAGACAACTCTAAAATTGCTTGCATACCATATTGACAAAAAAGAAATGAAATTTTCCTGTTCCCCTAATGAGTATTTATACATAAAAACTACCTAGAAAATATAATAAACTAGAAATTATAAAGAATTTCAACATTAAAAATGTTACCCAACATTTTCTATCTTGTCTAGTGGAAGAATGGAGCAATTAGAAGCACTCTTTCGGTTTTTACCATAAAAATTTGTGACAATTCTCTTTTCATGTTAAACACATGAATCCGTAACAATTTTTTTTTTCCGCACAATAATTCATGACCTTCTTCCTTGTTAACAATCTTAATACTTCAACAATTATTATAATCTAGTAAGACATTATTACGCATGATAATTAAAATAAAGAAAAAATATAACATAAAAAAGATATAAAATGATAATACTACTAAAATACTAAAACAACGCATAATTTATATTATTCCAATATCAATCCTCCTAGGGTGGCAAATAACATTCTACTCCACAAACTTTGGATGTTCCTTAAAGAACAGAAAAAAATTCTAATAGAATACAAAAATAATGAAATACATCATATTTTGCGGACACTTCCTGAAAAACAGAAATGGAAAAATATATCTTCAGAAAATCAGGGGTCAAAAAATTAGGGGTCACCTTCCTTTGGAGAGGGGGGGAGAGAGAACATAGAAGAATCTAAAAAAAACTCTTAAAAAAAGTCAAATATTGCTGAAAATTTTATCCATATTCAAAAATTACTATGTAAAATCAAATAAAGTTTGAATAATCTATTACCAAATAGAATTTCAACGAAGGTTGGTAGAATAAATAAAACATTATTTGGTTTTTGTATTTTTCATCCTCATAATTCATGTGTAGATTTAAGTTTTACATTTTAAGGCCTAAGGTTTTTCTAGGGTTAGATTTTAAACTAAGAATTTGGTTAAAGAACATTATAGATTTTAAAAGAGATAAATGAAGGTGATCAAGAATCACAGCAAAAAATGCAATGGTGTTTCCAGCGTACACTTACTCTTTCTTTTTTTTTTCTTTTTTTTTGTTCAGCATGGACAGATGAGAAGTACCAAATGGCACTACAATCCGTGTGATGAGATTTTTCTAAAATTAAAAATTAAAATGAACTACTATTAAAATATATGTTAATATTCTCGTGCATCTATTTGGTCTTAAATGAAATTTTGGGTATATTTCTCCAAAAAATGAAACAAGATACATATTTCTTTAATTTTGGGTATTATGGGCACATCAAGTCAATTTTCCCGAAGAAAAATCATTTCCATTTTTTAAGTTTGCGCCTATAAAGCAAATACAAGCATTCAAACTGTGTGAAGTAAAATGCTTTGAAACCTGGGCACAAAAGGATGCATGCTGCTTTCCAACAGATAATAGCTTCTTTCTGAGATCGTCTACTCTTTTCAGTACCTGCACAATCAATTACAAAAATATCCCTAAGATTATATTCACAAACAATAAAAATTCTCAGCTTACTAAAATGAGATGTTAAAATTCATGCATATAAAGTGTATTGTGCCAGCAAAGCTACACAGCAAATGAGCACTACAATTTTTTTTCTACGATGGATGGTTATTATGGACAACAACAACAACAACAACAAAGCCTTAATCCCACTACGTGGGGTCGGCTACATGAATCTTTTTTCTTCATTGCGTCCTATTTAGTGTCATATTTTCATCTAGTTCTAGTAAATTAAGATCATTTTCAATACAATAAGCCCAAGTCTTCCTAGGTCTACCTCTGTCTTTCTTAACACAAGTTGAATCTAAAACATCTACTCTCCTAATCGGATCATCAGATGGTCGACGTTTAATGTGACCAAACTATCTAAGACGCCTTTCTCTAATTTTGTCCGTCACTGGAGCTACACAAACCCTATCACGAATATATTCATTTCGCATTTTGTCTCTAAGTGTAAAGCCACTCATCCACCTAATCATTCTCATCTCGGCAACACTTAACTTATTATAATGCTTCTCTTTTAAAGGCCAACATTCAGTGCCATAGAGCATTGCAGGTCTCACCACCATCTTATACTATTTTCCTTTCAGTCTAAGCGGTACTTTTCTATCACACAAAAGGCCCGAAGCATTCCTCCACTTCAACCAACCAACTTGAATTCTACTA